CAAAAATCTGAACCTCAAACCTTTGGGACATGGCGAATCCACCTGCAGCCTTGCATGTGTCATCAAAGCACTTCTATGTGCTCTACCATTAACGCAGAGAGCTTGAGCTCTCTCGAACTCCATCTCAGGTATGGTTTAATCCCTCTCTTGATTAGTGTGGGTTATAATCTGGTCTGTGATGCGTGTTTATGTAAAAAATCTAAGGGTTTAAACCCTGTTTTGAATATGTGCATGCATGCCACCCCCAGTGACGAATTCCAGTGAATGTCGTTGAGTTTGAAGCAAGCTGCTGACTGCCTTGTTTTGTTTTAGCTCAATTTTGGCTTTTGTTGTGTGCTTGGGCTAACCTAAGCTTGAAATCGTGGGACTAACTCTCTGCATGCACCCATACTCCCTGTCTCAGTCTCCGACTGTGAAACCCGAGCATTTTTTGACGAGTTCGAAGGTGTGGGCACTCGAACTCCTTTGAATTCTATCACTTGTAATTAATTACCTTATTGTTTGCTGGTAGTGCCGTGTGTGGGTGTGCAGTGGTATGAACTGCAATGTGTGTGTGTGTGTGTTAACTGTGTATGTGTGTGTTGTTGTGTATGGGTGTGTGCGTGTACAATGTGTGTGTGTTTCCGTGTGGGTGTGTGCGTGTATGGTGAGTGTGTGTGGTGCACGTGTGTATATGTGTGTTGTGCCGTGCGTGTGTGTGGGTGTGTGAGTGTACTGTGTGTGCGTATATGTGTGCATGTGTGTGCATGTGTGATGTGCATGCATGTGTGTGTGTGTGCTGGCGTGTGTGTATGTGTGTTGTGTGGGTTTGGGCTCAAGCCCAAACCACCCCCTTTTTGTTCCTAAACTATCCAAACCCAAAACCCAATAGGTCCTAACCTTATTTAACCTAAACCTAAACCCTAATCCGGATCCAAACCCAAGACCCATTTCCATTTCTTGAAATTCTATATTTGGGTAGTTTGATAAATTGTATATTTTTATGCTTAGGTGAAGTTGCTAGTGGGGATTTCCTTAATCATTTTCCGCACAACTCTGCTGTTATGAAGTATCTGTGAGTGGACCCCTTCTAAAATTTGCATAATTTTATAGTTTATTTGCATAAACGAAATGCATGCCTTATGACTTTATGAACTAATTTTATGTTAAACATGTTTACTGGAATGTGGATTATCGTCTCGTTATTTTGTAAGGAATTAATTGTTGGCCTATATTGAGCTATATTTTAATATATCGTATTTTCTATAAAAACCATGAACTGGTAGACTATCTGATGGATGACGATAGGTTGCTAGAACATGTTTTAGAAACCCCTCTTTATAGTATAGACGATGGATGACTTTATACTATGAAGTGGTTATTTATGAGGGGCGTAACTATTTGTGTATACCTAGTGGACATTATGCCGCCTGGGGTGAGGATCTGGTGTTGGCAGATAGGCCGAGAGAAATAATCCGTAGCTACGGGCTGAGGGACACAGAGCATGCATTAGGCCGGGAGTTGGTAATCTCTGGCTACGGGCGCAGAGACCACAGTGCTAGCATAGGGCCGGGAGTTATATTTATTCAGTGATCTTACTAGCAGTACTACATCGAGTTACGAGACGATCTGTGAGACGTTTGATATTTTGATTTCCAAGATATGTATTTTGAGATGTTTTTGGCATGCTAGGGTTTTCAGTAAAACTATCACTTATTATGCTAGTAGTTTTCTTTATATAAACTGTAGAGGTTAGTATCTTGATAACTGTTTTATTATTATCGTATATATGAACTTGGTCCACTCATCTTTGTTTTGCGCCCCCATTCAGGTCTTAGAAACGAGGACTACGACACAACGTACGAGGCATTCCCCTACCAGTAGCAGTCTATCACTCACTTGTGTGATATCTTGTAATGATTTTTCCTTTTGTGATCTTGAATTAGAACGTATTCTGTGCACTCTAGACATTTCCTTAAACTTTGTTTATTACCTTTAGATTCTAATGATTATTCATGAATATTTCCTCCTAATCATTACTCTTGTATTAAAAAAAATGGCTTTCATCACCCTCGGATGTCGGCCAGCATGTGCCTATTCGGGTATTCAGGGAATATCGGGGTCGGGACGTGTCAGTTTAGAATCTAGGTACAATGCCTGGGTGGTGGACGTGAACATGCTTCCTGTCAGTAGTGACCTTTTTGTTGAGTCTGATCCCTCATACGATTTCTACACAGGGAAGAGCTCGAAACTTTTCTTTGCCAGTAGATCTTTCGCTCAGAATATTGATGGTGATGATTTTATATCCAAATTTGCAACGATGGTGAACTCGTTGCTAGTTAAAAGGCAGAGCATAAGTTTTGGTTTCATAATGACAAAGCTTTTGGAACAGAAGGGTGTGAAGGTCAAGAGTCTCGACGAGACAAGCTACGGTCTCAAGATCGATTACAGTAATGTTAATTAATCTTTGGGGGATGGAAAACAGATGGTATTTTGGTGATATGGCTTCAGATTTAGTTCAGAAGCGGCTTTAAGAATTGGGTATTTGGATTGTAAATGATGACTTGTCTTGGAAGGCTGTTGTTTGTCATCAGTCATAGCATCTGATCTGATATTATACACATTATCTTGATTTCATTGTAACCTATACGTAGCCATTTGCTTTTTGGTTCTGTTTAAGTTCTTAATTGTCTTGTGCCCAATTTTTTCTCACATGATTTTCATTTGCCAAGTTTTCTACGATTTAGATGTAAGCATCCCTAGTTGAAAGGCAAAGATGAACAAAGAAATACTTCGGTCACAAATCTTGAAGATTCATATGCACTTTATGGGAGTGTATATTTTAGACTTTTTATTTATTTATTCAAAGGATGACTAAAACTTAGAGACCGAAAGCCATGAACCTCACCATACAAAAACAAAAAATAAATAAATAAATAAAAAAACCTAATTTCACCCAACATGCAAATTGTGGATGTAAAGAGATTAGGTGGTGAGCATCACTACCATGTTAAAAGATTGTCATGTGTTACGAGACTAGATGGTATATTGAATTGTAGTAATTCCTAAATTCACTTATCAAAAATTCAACATAGTCACAGTGAGTATCGAAAAAAGAGAAAATCTTATGTGGTGTTGTTCATGTCGCAAGACTTGTTAAATGAAAGTATCATTAAAAGTGGGTGATGTGTACTCTTGTTCTCATCAAATATACATATACTAACTTCTAACTGAACTGTATTATTATTTAGCATCAATGTCATGTAGCAGGAATAAGCCTCATGGAAGTTTTTTTTTAGCAAAAACAACTATGATACAAGCACTGTGTAAAGACAATCATACCAGACCACTTGCATGGATTCCATATCTTTGAATCTTTATGACTTCATATCTTAATTAAGATTTGCATAAAAAAAGGTCGTACCCAGTGCACAAGGCTCCCGCTTTACGCAAGGTCTGGGAGAGGTGAATGTCGGCTAGCCTTACCCCCATTTAATTAAGATTTGCATAATCATACTAATTATGGTTTCATTTCCTTTTCCACCCAAATAAAAACTCAAAGTAATTAGACTCACTAACACTAATTAGTTTTCTTCCTATTGAAATTTCAACCCTACAAACAATATCAAGGACCCACATGAGTTTTATAAACACTTGTAATATCGTCTCTATCCATAAATAAATAAGTGGAGCACAACTAGATACAGATCATGACGAACTCACTAAGTTTTGAAAAGGCAACAACATAATTACATTGTTTCTAGAAACTCTCTTAGGTGAAAAATTAGGGCTTTAGTAACCCCACGTCATGCCCTAAACTCTATCCTAATCTGCTTTGGAATGACACACTAACAACAAAAGGGTAGTGGTCTAGTACAATAATTAATAAACCCACATCACGTTACTCTAGCTTAAGGTGTTTCGCCTTTCTTGATTATCCGTACCAAACACGGATTAGCATTGTCTAGAAATGTTAATTAATCAAAGAATCTGAGATTTTGATTCGGTAGGGTTCACCTGCAACAACGTGATGCATCATATTCTGTTAGTGTTTGTTGAGTCACATATCGATACAACGCAAATTATATTAGTTTTAAGAGAGATTCTTTATTATGTGTGGCGTATTTATCGTCACTAGTGTTTCAAGCTCAATCAAATCATTTTTCATCCATGATGTGTGGCTTCTAATTAGTGTTGTTTTATTACCTTTTAATAGAATAATATTAGTGTCGAACTTGTCATTTCATAAATATGAGTTGGATTTGAAACTTCTCATTTATAATTAAAAGAAACACTACTAGATTGCAAAGTTAGTGGCGTTGTTTCATTACTTGTTAATTAGATCTATGTAATTGTATAAACCCTCTATGGAGTTTAGTTTTTCAGTACCAAATCTTGTATTTGCTCTGACATTATCAATGAAAATTGAAGTTGATGCATACCAATATCATTCCAATAGTATAACAAAAAGCATCAGGTGTCCCCTTTGATGACGTTCCACAACCATCAATATAATACCCTAGAATTCTAATGGCATCACCAAATTATATTTAATTATAATTTTTCAGAGGCTAATTGGAACAAATCTCCTTAAAAAGTAAGCAAATCCAACACCTGGTAAAAATCCATTGGTTCAAGTTCAAAAAATTCCACCACCCACTTATTTCTACAGTAAAATTTGTTAGGCTATGCTTACCTTCTAGTTCTTCTTCTCCTAACATGCACAAGTTCTGTATGTACGTGTCTTAAAGCCATGGTATTCTTTATTTCTCTTTTGTCTCACTTATCATCCAATAACTTAAACTAAAGATTTAGATCCTTACTAGAATGTGTCACCCAAAACGATAGCATACTTTTGGTATCCTGCTAGGCACATAAGCGCGTCAGTCATTGTCGCTACCACAATATTTTAGTGAATTGTATGGTGTTAAGTTAAATCAGAAAGGTGGGATATAAGATTATAAAGTGACAAAAGAAATCAAGGAACAATCTTTACAAATCACAAATGGGAAAAGGCGTGGCAGCGTGTTTTTGTCATGGGGAGGATTTGAAAATGACAGCAAATTGACTGATGGAAGAAAGTATAGGGACTAATGCTGCAATTTTATAAACATACAACAAGCATAGAGCATAGGTTCCATAGGATTTGAAGACACAAACTTTAAAGGTTAAAGCTGTAAGTTGTGATTTCTTCACAAATGTATTTGGGGATGATGGCAGGAGGACATCATAGGGGTTGGGGAATGATAGAAGATGAGGCATGGAGAAAGGGACCTTGGACTGCTGAGGAAGATGGATTGCTCATTGAGCATGTGAGGCTTCATGGTGAAGGCAGATGGAACTCTCTGGCTAGGCTTGCAGGTATGCAACTTCTCTCTCTCTCTCTCTCTCTCTCTCTCCCCCCCCCCCCCCCAAAACCCTAATAAAAATCTTTGTTTGATCTGTTGTTGTATAGGGCTGAAAAGGAATGGAAAGAGCTGCAGATTGAGGTGGGTGAACTATTTGAGGCCAGAACTTAAGAGGGGGCACATAACTCCTCATGAAGAAAGCATCATTCTAGATCTACATGCTAGATGGGGAAACAGGTCAATATTTAGTTTTATCGTTCCTTTTTAAACTTAGTGAGTTTTTATTTAAACTCAGTTAGCTTATTATTTGCTACAAGGCTTAACTTCTGTGTTAAAAAAATCAGGTGGTCGACAATTGCACGAAGTTTGCCTGGAAGGACTGACAATGAGATCAAGAACTACTGGAGGACTCATTTCAAGAAAAGGGTAAAAGCGCCTTCTGATGCCTCCGAAGGGGCCAAAACCCGCCTCTTAAGGAGACAAAAATCCCATAATCAGCAGCAACAACAACAAAATTTGCAAGTGGATCAAGAAGTGAAAAGAATCATGTCCTTATTGGACGAAAATGAGACTAAACTGCCGTTATATTGGCCTCACGCAGCTGATCATCATCAGGAGCAAGGCTTCTTCTATTCCATGCTCGATGGCAATATTGTCAATGTGTCTTTGCCTGAAGCTGCCTCCAGCAATGAGGACAATTTTCTGTGGGATGGTTTGTGGAACTTAAATGATGTACATGCAAACTTTATTAACACCACCAGGCAAAGCTAGTTTTCACAACTAGGGTTTTTCCACTTCTGTCAAATAAGGGTTAAGTTGGTGTTGGCATGCTGCATCACAATTTTGATTAATCGGAAGTTGTTTAATTTAACTGGTTTTAGCTTCAAGTATGGAGATGTAATTTTCCATAAACCCTTTTCTGCCTTTCAAAGCATTATAGTATTAGTTATTAAACAACATAATAAAATATTAAACAACACAATAAGTCATTTGCTCAATCAAAAACCCATTTGTACTTTGAGTTGCATGAGTATCCACGCCGTCTTCAAAACTTTTGTGTACTAGTACTACCTTAGTCATATCAAGCTTCTCGTGACATTTTTGTCTTTATATTTCTTATGCTATTTTAAGTAATGATTTGGGACAAATGCAATCTTACTCTATGATTTATTACCACAAAGGTCTTGTTCCAAGATAAGAACTGGTTTTCATTTCAATTTATATGGACAAATACGATTCCCACTCCGATTTCACTATTTTTCCTTTTTCTTTTTACAACTTTGATATTTAAAAGGAAGTAAAGTTTGAATCTGGATGCAAATGGACGAACATACTGCCACAATACCTATAATGCTTTGCTTAGTTTGATTATAGTTTGTTCAATAACTTGGATTGTGTCATACCCAAGTGAGTTGAGAGTTCAATAGCCAAATGACTACAAACATTTCATAATGCACCGAAGAATGGGATGCACCATTTCAGTCGATGGCTGGATTTTACTACCAGAAAATAGGGGTGGGTTCAGTTTTATTTGATTCGATTTTTTGTCTAAATCAAAACCAAACCGAAATTTTGGTTCGGTTTTGGTATGATTTCTATTTTTATATTTTATAACATTTTTTAATATGGAATTTAGAAAAAATGCTTGCATCGGTAGACTAATCATAAGAAAATGGGGAAAGTGGGAAAGTGGGAAGGTGGTTGTATATATACAAGATTATATAAAACAATCGTATTCTATCAACAACGTCATTTGCAAAGAAAAATGATCACCTTATCCATTCAAAAAGCAAACAATTAGATAAACTCTTCCAAGTTTCAAAGCGTTCCAAAACTTTCCTCTATAACCAATGAAATATCCTCCCTAATTCAACCAAGTATGCTCCTTGAAAAAGTCCTAGGCTTAGTTTCAAACTTGGCAACAAAGTTTCACAAAAGAAACATCATGGGCATATATTCATAAAGTGTAAAGGGATTCGGTTCTGTTTGGTTCGGTTTCCAAACCTCCAAAATCAAAACTGAACCAATAAGGTTCGGTTCGGTTAGGTTTTTTCTTTTTCGGTTTAGTTTTTTTTTTGTTTTCGATTTTTCAATTTCGCTTTGGTATTCGGTCTAGTTTTTTTTAGTTTTCGGTTTTTGGTTTTTTGAACCCACCCTAGACAATACTATTTGCCCGATAAAATTTGGCCCAACAAACCATAATTAGTCGGGTCAATTTTGTTTACTAGACGAAAATTTACGTTGGTTGGGAAATTTGGTCAACATTTAGGGCTTTGCCCAAGGCTTTGCGCAATGAAATTTTTTCGCAGGGAAAAAGTGCATTTGTAAAGTAACGTTGTGGGGCCAAGGGAAAAAATGGCATGTATTGTGTAAATGTTTGTTCCACCACGCAAAGGCATAAATTAGGGTTTAGGGTTTCTAGGAGTTCCTCCTTCGGATTTTGGATTTCTATCTTCAAAGCATATTGTATCTTGTTTCAACATAAAAAATAGATTGAATCAATACAAGTATATGAATTCAATAAAATCAAAATTTAATTACATAAGAATAACTTAAACATAGTACGCTTGTGGTTGAAGATGAATGAATTCTCTTTAGCGCAACGTCATAACGTGTTATGACCTATTTTAGAGAATGAGAGGGGTGGTAGAGAGGAAGAGAGATGGGGAATAGGTTTGAGGAACTTTGTGTGCTATGCCTTCAGACCTTGTGTCTTTATTTATAGTAAATCAACGAGAATTCCTTGCACTGCAAGGATACAATCCTAAAAAGAAAAGATCTTATATTATCCTAAATACAATCTACAAATAATTTAGACAATCACACATATTACACATTCCTCATTCTTAATTTTGTATTCATAGTTTTCCTATCTCAAACCTACCTCTAATTTGGAATTGGAGTGAACGGTCAAGGACAATTTTGGAATCACAATTATGCCAGAGACCCCGCTCTCTTTTTGTTGATCTTCGTCTGATAGGACTGGAAAAAAATTCTCGAAAATCCTGAACCAAACTAAAAAAATTCCAATCCCAAATCAAAAATGTTCCAAACCAAAATTTTCAAAATTTTCAGGATGAAATACTAAATTGATCCCAAAATTTCAGTATGAGATTCGGTGTTATTTACTCAATCTTTCGGTAATTCCATATCGAACCGAAATTTATATATATATATATATATATGTATATATGTATGTATGTATGTATATATGTATGTATGTATATTATTATACAGTTGAATTGTTGCTAACTACTAGTAGTAATATAATTGGTGTGGTCTCCAAGTAGTACCTATAGCCCTTTATCGCCACATCTACTGGTATGAACCTCCAACAAATGTATCTATTTCTTCAACACGAAATCAAAAAAATTGTATTGTTAGTTTTTGAATATGTTAGGTTTGTAACTTATTTTTTTATTTTATTTTTGATTTGTTACTTATTTTATTTTGGTTGCATGTTAATTTAACCTGGTATGAATGATTGCTATTTCAAATTGTATGAAATTTGGGAATACCAAACCATCCCAAAATACCAAAAATATTTTGAGAATCTAGAAAATTAGGAATACCGAAATTTTGGTTTGAGATTGGTTTTCAAATTCCCATCCCGAAAATTTTTGGTTTAGAATTCAGGTTCCCATTTTCAGTTTGGGATCCCAAATCACCCATATTCGTCTTTCTCTGTCCTCTCTCTCTGCCTACTAATTTGTACCAGCTAAATTAGCAGCTAATTACCAAAAGAGACAGCAAACAAAAATCCGATGGAGGGACAGCAATCATGGCTGCCGAGGCTTTCGTTCAGGATCGCCACCATAATGATGTGCTTGCTCAACCTCATCACGGCGCTGCTACTGCTTCAGGGCTTTCTTTCCTCCGCTTCTTCTTACTCCAAACTCTCCGCCTCTCACCTCAATTCAGGTTTCCCTCTCTCTCTACAATCTGGCAATGGGTTTTCTTTATCTTTGCGAATCATGCTGACCCATCATCTAAATTTCCTCACTTTTTGAAAATTTCCTGTTTTTTCCTTGCTAACCCATCATTTGCTTCTTGTTGTTGATTGGATTGGTGACCCATTTCGTTTGAGGTTAGGGAATTAGGATTTGTAATGTGGGTTTAGTGGTTTAGTCGTATTGTGATCTTGTTGGTGCAGCTTTATGTTGATATTCGAAGGTTCCGAATGTGCTTGAAATTTAGTATTTTAGGCTTGAGAGTTTTGTGATCGAAGGTTCCGAATGTGCTTGAAATTTAGTATTTTAGTACAGTTCACAGTTGGTTTTTTTGGACTTTATCTTTAAGTTGCAATGTAATGAGGTTATCTTCCTAGTCCGGATCGGACCAGCTTCAGTTTTGAAAATTAAATCGCATATGGAGGTTATTGAAAACTGAAAAGCCATGAAATTTAATAGTCGAACTGAAAGTCAAAATCCTTCCAAGTTTATCTTGCTTTCTTGGAGATGAGTTTGTAGAATTTTATACCCTGTTTAGATCAGTGAAGACCTTGGATTATCTTGTCTATTTGTCTGAACTCCTAAGGTAAATGTATGTTAGAGGGGTCATTTAGCTGTCCTGTAGAAATATATTTCATAGTGGTGTGCCTGTGTTTGTTTCCTCCAAACATGATCATAAGCTGTTACTTGTACTTCTTTACTCACTTTTTCAGGTCAAATTTCTTCCATTTAGGCTTAAACCACCTACTACTGATTATAGTGCCATTTCCTTTAGCATTTTATCTGTGGGAATCATCCATGTGGTCTCACCAATCAACTCGCATCCCTACATGGCAAAAGGACTCAATAGAGCTCAATATACAATTCAAAATCCAGTAAGCTCTTGGATGTATACAACTTGAAATCAATTAAAATCTTAGGATTAAAATTGTGCAACTGGTGTCATACACCTTGTAGGTTTTCTTTTTTAATTTTCCCTTTCCATCTATATGACCCTAGTTTAAGACTGGATGATGGGTTTTAACTTGATGGTAATAATGAGTAAATTCTAATGGAAAAGTGGTCCAAATGGTCATTGTGAAAGCGTTTCATTAACGAAGCATTATAATAGCATGAGACCTGTATTTGAGTGACTAAAAGATACAGTTTTGATTTAAGCAGTATGGTGTTGTTAAACTATGATGCGTTCGTTATATCAGGTTAAATATACTATAATCATAAACCTGTGAAAGGATTGTTTTTTCATGTGCTCTAATATTAGGATGGGGAGGGCGGATAAAGGAGGAGAGGGTGGGCGTCAGGTAGTCGACAGCCGACACTCTGTTTTCACGTTGATTCCGTATGATGCTCTAATATGATTATGTTATATTCTTGACCTTAAGTTGGTTTGCTTTAGTCTTTTTCCTGTGTATGTGCAGCTGCACTTAGGTATGTAAGAGAATCTGAAGAAATTCGTTTTGCTATGCGACCCTTGGAACTGATAAAAAGAGTAAGTTTGATTCAGTGTTAGAACTATTATGCGTCGGTTATAATTCTACTTAAAATAATCTTCTGCTATTCACAAATGAAATGGAGGGAGCCCTTTTACAAACTGAACCAATGTTTTACTGCTTGCCTGTCTGATGTTAAGTGCACTTTCAATTGAAATTGGAACTTCTTGTTTTTTTTTTTTAAATTTTCGATATCAATCAAATAGTTAACCTCGGGCAATTCATGGTTTTGTGTACCATTGGATGCTCTTTTAATTTCTTCCCTTTTCAGGTGAAGGAAATCCAACAAGAAGCATATGAAAAACCAGAAACAGCTAAGGAGAAAGACACAAGGCAGACTGTTGCAGTTGACCTTTCCAAGAGATTGAAGGATCTGCATTATGTTAATGATGCAACCAGCTTCAAAGGTGAAACTATGTCATATTTTGTTCATTGTGAAGCTCTGAAACGGCTGTCGTTCTTGAATGTTACTTGTGTGTGTCCGCTATTGTTTATGAAAATCAGATAGTTGCTCGCATTTTAAGTCAGATGTGAACGAATCTTTGAGAGAACTCGTCAAACGCCCTTCACTCCTTTTAACATTAGAGTGGATGGATTCATTGGTTATGGTTTCTTGTGTAAATACTAGCCTTGCAACAAATATTTCATTAAAATTGGCAAATTATTTGTTATTGTTAGTAACTAGATTTTACCAATATAAATAATGTTCTGCAGCCCTGGAAGAGTGGCGTAAACGAAAGATGGAACGAGCAAGACTGCGTCAACTAGAGAAAAATGGAACGCTCGCAACTCAGGCCTGAGCCGTATACTTGACAAAGTATTGTTCACTTTATACTGAAATTGGGATACCAAGTCATCCCGAAATGTGTATATCACAACTCTGTTTGTATAACAAACAAGGTGTTGAATATATGATGATACAAAAGTTGTACCAATGTTGTATTTACCTTCATAATTTGTCCATCCACATGGGAGTTTTAGGCAGCACGACGGCGCGTGATTCAAGCATAGAACTTATATGAATGCAGCAGTTTATGCATGCTTTCAAGTGAGCTGAAATCCACAATGCTTGATGTTCCATTACAAATGAATTAATCAAGGAATTAAAGAAAACCGATCTATCCAAACATACGTGATGCAGGTAGGCACTAATTATACAACTCTGTACAAAGTTTAGCTATTTCGGTCTGTGATAACATATACAACGCTACAAGTAGAGAAGATTACTACATTTGTGCTTACAAACTTACCGAACCTAAAGATGCCTACTATCAGTTGCGTGTATCAAGACTTGGTCCGAAATGTCCGCGAAACAGGCAAATGCCTAAAATGTCAGAGCAAATCATCACAGCAGCATATGGTGGCTCTGTCAGCGAGTTTTCACTTCTGTTTTTCACCAGCTCGCGACTTCAATTGCCATGTACATGAGCCACGTCAATGCTTTTGGATAATCTGATTGAAAAATTTACACTTCGGCATCTACTTGTGAAGAAACATTCATGGACCAGAAAATTAGGAAGCTAGATACCACAACCATGTAGTCTGAATGCCACCTGCAGAATAAGAAAACTATTAGAGAGCTCCTAAGACCATTGGCTATCCTAAATTTTGAATGCAATCGTGAGTACGTAACAATAACCAAACACATCCAGTAATATCGTTTTCTATGTATACACCTGCTAACAAGATAATAGAAAATAGTATCGAACAGAGAACCGACTAATGGGTTCAGATCCTGTTACACAAACGGTACAGGCCGGTAAGATTTCAAGTATGCACAATGTATCATACACAGAAATTAATGAATTATTTACGACTTAAAAAGCAGGGAAATACTACAGAAATAGTCACTAGATACAATATTTAGTTCATTTTTCAGCCGACAGAATACATTTCCATTTGAAAAGTTTTGGTTCAAATTATTTACAATAAATAGATATAGAACTGCAGCATTAAACAAAAGAGAACTCCAAGAAGCTGCTCAATTTATTGAACTCTACTAAAACTTCCCTTTCTAAACACGTACTTCTCTTTCACATAGAAAGATTCGCACGGCTCCCTCACTTTATCCATATTCAATAAACTGGCAAATTTTTAAAAAGACACACACCTGGTCCCTGGAACAAGTTATGTGTGTGCACTCACGTGTGTCTGTATTCACTATCTGCAGTGCAGCCAACTGAATGTTATTGTCTTGTAATGAAACACAATTTGGAACCTCACTTGCAAAAGATTTTATAGCTTGACAAACCTAAACAATGGATTGGTTTTGAAAAAAAAAATACAGGAAAGAAATCAGTTTTAACGAAACAACAAGAATTTAATAAGTTCTTGCGTATTCTAGTCCATTGCAATGAACTTTACACAACTTTTTTTTAGAAGAAACGATCACACTTTATTTAAAATAATAACATGAATAAAATAGTGGATAAGTAATCCACCATCTAGCAAAACTAGCTAAGACCTCTCAAGTAGATCTATTTACAAGTAACATAACCTCAACTTTACAGCTGCTAACATATCCCACACTATATGAGAAAGAGAATAATCCCTGAACTCATTCGAAACTGAAGCCCAGAGGGCTGCCCAGTATCTTACTCTACCCCATAGTTCTGCTACCCACACTCAATTATAATCCTCAAAAACTTTACAGAACTTTAATTTTAATAGTAATGACTTTGTCACAGAGAAACATGAATCTGACATCGATTCCTAATTTCCTACCACAGGCAAAATATCACAAGCAAGACTTTCAGATTTGGGTTTAATGATTTGGTTAGGCCAATTCAGATGACAAGATGTTATCTGTAACTAAGGTGTTGGTGCAGAGGTGTGAGGACATCGCTGTTTCTTTTAATTGATATGACATGTGCAGGGAATACAGAGAAAACTTGTGTAATTTTCATGTACATGAAACCTATCATTAATCTCAATGAGAAAAGCTCCAAATCTCATCTCTACAAAAACTTACCCAAATCAGAAATTGTTAGTCATTTGATTATCAACATCAACATTTCAATGTTTATCAGAAACGTTGTGTTTGTTTATCTATTTTATCATACTTAGATAACTAAATGGTTTCCTATTTCACTAAACTTTTTAAAGGGTAATCCATTGAAAGAGGACGAAACAGTTGGAATCATTAAAAATTAATTGCAGGGTGACTCAAGTTCACACTTTTCAAGAACTACGGGCATCCTTTTCCCTATTGTTAGTCATTTGATTATCAACATCAACATTTCAATGTTTATCAGAAACGTTGTGTTTGTTTATCTATTTTATCATACTTAGATATCTAAATGGTTTCCTATTTCACTAAACTTTTTAAAGGGTAATCCATTGAAAGAGGACGTAACAGTCGGAATCATTAAAAATTAATTGCAGGGTGACTCAAGTTCACACTTTTCACGAACTACGGGCATCCTTTTCCCTTGTATATGTAGAGACACACACACACACACATTAAACTAGCATATAGCATTGATGAAAGAAACTGAATACTAGTAACCGAAAAAGGAAACTGAATACTAATTGGTACATTTTGAAGCAGCCAAAGGATATTTTCCAAAGAATTTCAAGGTTATTCTATGAGCAAATCCATACATGTACCCTTTCCCCAAATCCCGATGCACATTTAATTGTAGCCTAGCATTAATTTGCACAACTTAAGTAAATAACTTCAAAATACCCCAAACAAACACCACAGCTGCTCAATGTCATGAGTCTTATTGTGTTCTGCCTTCCAACTTTTTAAACATGCTAAAGCACTTTTTGTTTTTACACCGCAACTTTTTAAACAAACACAAGTAGGAGTTAGATAGGTATAATGTATAGCTATCTAACACTAATCTGATGCTTCTAGAGTGTATCTAAGCAAGAAGTATGATTCAGTATTGTTCCCGTCAATCAATTAAAGCTCCAGGATGGTGAAATTAACTCAAATTTCATAGGTAAAGAATGTAAATTTCAAGCATCCACAAATTATTTCCCTTTATTAAATTCAACCATAACTAATAGGTAGACCACTGCATTTCCCCTTCAATGGACTTTCACAAATCTATTCAACATGAATCCCTTTTACCTTTCCCTGTACCAAACTCCACTTCAGAAAATACTAGAAATACTGCACTAATCAAATAGTTTCTTTCTCCTATTTGCTGGCTTTCTCCTATGTGCTGGATAATTGATTCCAAGTACATTGGATGAGGCTATATATTTAGTGATCCCCTTCTTTCTCCGTTCAAGGGATAGGGAAGTGCACCGTCTTACTTTCATTGCAGTTTGTATGGACCCACTCTCTTTAGGGTTGGGGTGGGTGGGTTTGTATTTTAGGTAGGGGGTTGTATACCATGTGGACTTTGATCGTGCTTCCCCTTCGTCAATAATAAGTATTACGTTTACAACACAAAGTAAAATTAAGAGTACAAGAACAAAGTCAAAGATTTTGCTAACAAAATTATCTTCTTTAAAAGTTTCTCCTACAATTGCTTCAAGGTACAATTATTCCACAATAAATACTCGGGTTGCATATCTCACATATGAACTCCAACCCAAATGGTTTCAGAACCCGAAGGTGCACTCAATACCTGTACCCATATTGTTCTATCCGAGCTCATTAGTAATAGAATGACATGGAGACTCAAATGCAAAGCAATGGGTCAATTACTAGATGCACCAAATACTTACAACCCTAGCAAAATAAAATATCAGAATAGTGTCATTACCATTGTGTGTTGAAAACTATATAATTTTGGGGGCAAAATATTTAATTTAATGTGTTTGAATGTACCAAAGAGAGTACCACTAATCAGGACTGAAAAGCAAATTATTTAACTCTTCTAGAAATCAAACACAAGTCTGCCATCCTAAACCAAATGTCTTGCTATTGCAAAGCATATTTCGACGAGAATTAGAAAATACAAAGCGGTGGAATCCACGGCCACTGAGATTAAGTACATTCGATAAAACTTCTAGCTGAAACTTACTGGCGGGAGAGAAACATCTAAGAAATAAACCCAAATAGTTGTGTTTTACTAGAAAGGTCGTACCCAGTGCACAAGGTTCCCGCTTTACGCAGGGTCTGGGAGAGGTGAATGTCGGCTAGCCTTACCCCCCTTTATGGAGAGGCTGCTCCCAAGTCTCGAACCCGAGACCTACCGCTCATGGGCGAAGGCACTTGCCATCGCACCAAGTCGTGAGAGAGGGTTGGGAAATGGGTTAGGATTAGGCTAGGTCAAGGGTTCAAATCCCTTTCATCATAACCCAAAAAGGGGTTGGCGAATATTTGTTTCCTTTGGGTCATGAACAGAAATGGGAAATATCTGATACTGAAAGTGTCCTACTGCAGCAGTCAAAACTAAATGTTGGTGAAAAACTGTTCTCGTAAAAAATTTATACAGCACTAATGTCCTCCTTTTGTCTCTTCTTTTTACTCACTGCAGTTAATGTATTAACCATCACAAATTACAATTTCCAAGTCTTGATTATGAGATCCTCTATATATAACAGCTCATAACTAGATTCCCCGCAACTGTCCAAACACCAATTTCTAATGCAACAAAATTAAAAGCACTATGCCAGACACATACAAGAAGCAACAAAGAAAGAGATTGAGCAACTTTTATTCCTCAAGCATTCAGAATATTATAAGAAAATCCTTGAGCACTCAAAATATTATAAAACAAAACCCGTGAGTATAATTTACAGCCAGAATCATGGCCCATGAATCATGATATTACCCTACAATACAAATTAATGAACAACCTTGCTCCAGAGAAATGCAAACGGAAAAGGTGAATCCTAAGTACATAGATTAGCATGACTAGCTTTTATATGTAACAAGACAAATCACCTCCATCACAGAGAAATAATAAAGGCCCCTTCCCTTCCTCCTAATAGTACGCTTCACCATATGATTACTAGAGTATATCATCGCACAAAGAATCACACACCTGGCACCAATAAATAGGTGACAATGCGACATCGAAGTTTGAACATGAGCTACAACAAAGCACAGAAAAACAGGGCAAGCTGATCTGACGCATAACCATAAAATAAGAAAGACACAAATGCTTTTACTGAGAAAGGAGTTGGTTTTACCTCAGTATGTCTTACTCCTGTAACTGTCTGCATGATTTATATATCAGCACCCCATCAAAATTAGTTACAGATAGCAAGTTTCCCTGTCCATTCATCAGCCTCAGACACAGTAGCCACCCCATAATCAAGGCTCAACTCCCTCATAGGAGGGATGTTCTCCATTGCAAATAGCATGAGATGAGGAAACATCACATTATTGTGATCATACAGTACAAACTGCACCATAACATTCGGAGTGGAACTGTGGCTCATATAACAAGCAACATTTCTCATTTTGGATACATCCATAGCAAAATCCAATGGTGGGATCGAAGGATAAGTTGGACGTACATAACCAGGATCTATCTGAGATAAATCTCCCCATTCAGTCCATCTATCAGAAAACCGATGTGGATAAACCAAGGTATCACCATTCATTGCAAATATTTGAGCCATTTCCCTAGTGAGAATAACCCCTGTATACTCACATATAAAGGCACCAGCATGTATCAAGTTCAATGACCTAACTCCCCAACCTGTTTCCCTTGACCTAAACACTTCCAGTCTATTTCTCATACCCTTTTGCGTGACACGATTCCGGCAATTTGGGGGACAATGGCAGAAGGGCCCACACTCAAAAACCACAGGCTTCCCTCTCAAAAGACACCCATTGTCATCATAAGCAAACTCACCTCCATTTTTCATAGCACAAAAGCAATTACCAAAACAACTGTCAATACAATCACACCCGGTTCCCTTCCCAGACTGATGAAACACTTGTGTTGGAAACACAGTTGTCGCAAGATACTCATAGTAAATGGGGTCCTGATCAGAATCAATGTCATTGAAAAGCAAAACTGGAACATTCTCCTTCTTATTAGAAATATCCAGACTGAGATAACCTGACTGCCTCACAGACAAGGGGTTAGTCCTAAGACTAGCCGCAAACTTAAGAATAGCGCTACCCATCTCACCTTGCCCTTCTATTCTCAGAAGTTTAAACTTATAAACACCAAACCCCGACTTGCCCACATCAAACCAACAATCAAATATTCTATACAAGCCATCATAAACATAAACCTTCTGCGAAATACCGCCTTGGCATTTGACTCCTCGGATAACTCTCACTTCAATACCATAATGCATGCTCCTCTCCAATGCCAAATTCCCACCTTCCAGCTTCTGGTGAGCACATTGCTTATTAAACTTGTCCTGTCCTCCATGACCGGTGTAGATAATCACATCGCCGGCATCCTCATCGTCCTCGTAGCCACCCGAAACGATAACGCTGGTTGCAATTGGCTCATGATTCGAGCTCTGGCTCGCCGGAAGATAGTCAATCCCAGCTTGGACTTGGCCATGTAAACCAACCACACACAACTCCATGCGGAAAAAGAAGAGATCGCCAACATAGACCCCGGGAATCGAACCCACGATCCTTTTATCGCGATTGAGCCACAACCCACGATCCCTGAGCGCCGTGGCGGCCTGCAAGTCGCCTCGGACTCGCTTCCCGTTTCCCGGGTTCCGCTTCTCCTCCGCTGCCACTGATAGTATTCGAATCGAGTCATATAGCATTCGGGTTTTCCTCACCACGTCACGGAAGTACCTCTGGTCCTCGATGTTCAGATCGGTGACCCGGACGAGCTCGGAGGACCGCTTGGGGTATTTCCGCCGCGCAACGACGGCCTCTGATAACTGGGTTTCTTGAGGAACCGGCACAATTGCTCGCGCATCCGGGTCCAAAACTTCGACCTCGCCGTCGGCCATACTCTGGAGCCCTTTAGCAAAAGCTGTCCGGAAAAGCTCGGAAATTCGATGGAACTCCGAGTACACATTCTCCTGGTCGGAAGGTGCGGCGGAGGATTCAGATACAGGGGTGTGGTTCAGGTCGGAGAATGGGGTAATTTGGGAATTAGTGAGAGAGTTGGGGGTAGGTGTGGGAATGAAGGGTTCTGGAGGCAGTTGTGGCAGGTGGGTATCGAGTGGTTCGTCGAAAGGTTCAAGCTTCGGTTCGATTTTGGGGACTTTCAAGGCTACGGCGGAGTTGGCGGTGTTTGGGGTGGAGCCGGCGGGGGATTCAGGGAGGTTATTGAGGTCTATAATTGGGATGAGAGAGCCCATTTCGTCAGCTGAAATGAAGTGGGTCTGAGTGGGAGGAGAGTGTGGTGGTTGTAGAGGTTGGGCATGGAAGATTGTGGCTGCGGTGGGTGTGCCTTTTGTTTCCTTAGGGTTCTGCTGAGAAATTTGGAGGAGCTACTTTCATGGCGGATTTTGAAATGTAACCTTTTTGTCAAATTTTTTACATCCAGTTTTGGTAGGAAATTGGATGAAACTGACTTTTGTTTTACGGAATTGCCCCTCTCACCCTAAATTTGTTGCAATTTATGTTAGCATTGGATGCTAACGCTTAGGCCAGCGTCGATGGACTATTCGCACAAAAAATACGGACCGAGTTCATGTGCTACATCATCATCTATGGGTCCTATTGAGTTCGATCTAGCACTTTCAGAGCATGTTATACACGTGTAAAATATTATCGTAGATAAAAGGGTCTCTAGATAAAATAAAATTACCATGAAATAAAGATAAAATGGTAGTTGTTCAATAGATGAAAGCTCTTGTGAATGTTTAATTATCTTATTATATGTTACTCTTTTAAATTTTGTAGTGTAAATATAAAACATAGTTGGCTAATTTGTAATTTTATATCAAAATTGAACCAAGTTGTCAATATTAAATATTGGATTGAGTATTATACACATCATTTAGGTTTATGGTCAATTTCACTATTCACGAGGTTATAATTGTCTCACACTACAGTTCATTACTTTGACATTTATTCAATTTACACGTAAAGTATCAACTGTTTAATCTTGAGAACCACCTCAAATCCATCAAGCATACCACAAAAAAATACATCAAAGTTATCTTCGAGATAGATAGTGATTTCACACACTTCTCATTCTACATTCATTTTCTTATTATGATCCCTTAATTCTTTTTTGTTTTATTTAATATGAATGTTAAATGTAAGAGGAGTGTGTTGGCACGGAAAATTTTGGGTACTCCAATAAACACTTCGACACTCAAGTCAGTCTTTGTTCAGGATGTTGATAAAATATAGAACAATCTCATACCTCTCTTCCCCCCTCCCCCGGCCGCGTTCTGGTGGGATTCTAGGCCTTTTATAGTCATAAAAAGCTTGGGCTCCAAGTTTCACTATCTCACTCAATGTTCCTTAGTACTAGTTGATTCATGTTGCCTTATTTTAGCCGCACTCCCCAATTTTTAGTATGCATGAAAAATGGCTAGTTACTTGGCTCTTAATTCTTGCACCACATATGCCGCTTTTTTTCTCTGCAAACACGGATCCTCTTAGTTTGTAGAGAAAAAATATTTCTCTTGCCAAAATTCATGTGACTTGAAATATTATCATGAGTTGTGGCTATGATCATAGTTTAGCCTTTGATTACTTTCACACGGTTGTATGTTATCCTTCAGCCACGATCACTTGGTCATAATTTGGCATTTGGTTACGATCATACGGTTATTATTTAACATTCAACTATGATCACACGATCATACTTTAGCCTTCAGCTACGATCATATGGTCATCATTTAACATTTGGTTGCGATTACAAGATCATAATTTAGCCTTTGTATGCGATCACACAATTTAACTTTTTGTTACGATCACACAATCATAATTTAACCTTCTACTACAATCATACGGTCATAATTTAGCCTTCGGCTATTCGACCATGGGTTTTAGGTTTTCAACCCTCAGTCTTGGGCTTCGGCCATAATTCGATCTAGGGTCCTCAACCCTCAATCTCGAGCCTTCAGAATTTATTTTGGTCTAGGTCTTCAGCCCACAATTTTGTGATTTTCAACTATGAATTTGTGCAGTGCTAACATGCCTCCAAAGTCCAAATACAATGATTTGCTGCCTTCTGTCAACAACTAAGCAAAAATTTAATTGTAAGCAATAAAATAATATAATTAGTTTGATGAACAAAATATAATGCATACTAATTCTCCTCATTTGAAGAGTGGTTGCCCTCTGATTCATGAGAACTTAAATATTTTCAGATGAGATTTGCCACAAGAAAGATGTAACAGCTTGATAAATCTAGCATTTCAAGTAAGTCGTGGCTTGTCTCACCATGCGAATAATTCGTATGCAACAAAGGGATGTGCACTAGCCATCATACAATGACGATAGTCCGATGAAGGGGCTAAAATGCCCCTAGACCAAGCTTGCATTTGTGTCTACATATAATTATCTTAGAATTCTTATGAGATGAATTTGAGCACCGTGCAAGACATGTTGTGATCCAAGTCCCATAGTAAAGTTGCGTGGATAGTCAACAAAGTCTGGTTGTAATTGGCAAAATAGAGCAGCACTGATGATTGAAATTATAATAGTGAGATTGTCTAGTTAGAGAATGAAGCAAAAAAGTGTTCCCCCGACTCTTGAGGGTCGACGCATAATGATATCATTACGAAAAAAGCATTTCCCTGTCGGTCTTAATATCAATAAGCTCATGAGAAGCATTTGTGTTGCTACAAAGCATTAACTCGTTACTTCTATAAACAAACATGACATGGTTGAGTAGGAATTCTAACCATTTTGGTATTAACTAGATCAACCTAAGTAGCTACTAACATCTCTTTATTATTAACAGGGCCGAGATTTTAGGGGCCCTGTGCGAAATTTATAAAAGCGCCCCTCCTTAAGATAATCTTAAAAAATGTAGGACAATGTATTGACACTAGAAATCAATTACTTAAATCAAAACAAAGTTTAGCACTCACTGATTGCAAGTTTAAAATGTCATTAGTAATAAGTAAAGAGTGACAAACATAACGTTCACTAAATAATCAAAAACATTTCACTCTTAAACAACCAAACAAGAAAACAAACTTCAAAAACTCTAACTTTAAAGTTTCACTTGAATATGTAAATTTATTATATAATAATATTGAAAAAATACATTCTTTTATGGTGTATTATTGGCACTCAAAATATCTTATTGTATTCTAAATTTTTATATTTAGAAAAGAAAAAAATTACGCTTATAAGAAATGTAAGATAAGATTTTAAAGTGCTAACAAAATCAATTTTTGAATATAGAACATTATCTCATAACAAAAGCAATTTTAAATATACAATATTATTAAATATAAATACTGGGTGACAAAGGGGCCCCTTCAAATTTGGGGCCTTGTGCGACTGCACCTTTCGCACCCGCTCAACGCCCCCTCTGATTATTAATAGCAATCCATCCTCGTGAAAATGATTTGGACACTGCGCTTATTCGGTATTATTGCATGAAGAGCTGTAATGATGAATCATAAAAATGTCATACTTTCATTCGACTCATGATATTGTAAAAGAGAGGATCTAAGAATTCTTATCGGTTGGTTGGAGCAGCACTGCAGCGGTGGTTGCTGGGAGTGACGCTATTACTAGTTGGCGGCGCTAGTGTCTCTTTGTCTCTAAATTGTCTTCCACCATACACATTCGCCTGCTTGAGCTTGTCTTCTGCTTTGAACTTTTTAAGCCACCCTAACTGCGGGTTTCACAAACAATGCGTTCTTGTACCTCTGCTACTTCTCAAATTCTCTCTTCAGTGTCAATTCTCTTAAGGCTAAAGCCTCCTCAACTCGGTACCATATCAGTGCCGAAACGAATTCTAAAATGCTCAGATTATCCGCTTCGCTTTTTACGTCACGACTGTTAGACAAGGAGTTCATTGTGTCCAGATCACCATTTTCAGGAGCTAAATCGAATGTTTTGAAGGATTATCCTAGTGCATCCCCCTGCCGCCAATCCAATTGGTGCAAACGAATTTGAAAATTCCCTTTTACATATAGTATAGTTTCTTCTTCTCCAGAAATATTGGTGTTAGCCCGTGCCCCCACTCAATTGGTTGTCAACCACATCAAGGGTTTTCTACATGCTGATTTGAACTGAATCCAATACCATGACAATATCTTTAGGCACAATCACTCTCCATCAATGAGAGCAGAGGGGACTTGCAAGAAAACACTTCCACGCTCAAGTCAGTCTTTGTTCATGATACTTATAAAATATAGAATGATCTCATACCTCTCTCTTTTTCTCCACTTATTCTAGTGGGATTCGAGGCGTTTTATAGGCATAAAAACCTGGGCTGCAAGTCCCAATATCTCACTTCATGTTCCTTTGTAACCCCATTCCCCAATTTTTAGGATGCACAGAAAGTGGCTAGTTACTTGGCCCTTAATTTTTGCACTGCAGAATGTAAGAAATTTTCCAAGACGTCCCTTGTGAGAGTCTTTGAGTATTCTCTCTGGTTGGTATATATGGGCTATGGGTTCACTCAGTGGCGCATAAGAAATTGGTACCAATAATTTTATCTTATGTAGGTAATTTTCAAATAAGCTAAAGCAAACCAACCTTTGTAGTTGTGATTTGGATTTTAATTTGTTGAGATTAGCAAGTAGCCCTTTATTACAGTGGTGGAAGAAATTGAGCTCTTGTATGACGATCTGGGTTCGAATCTCATTGATGGTTAATCCAATATCTAATCTAACAAAATCTATTGATTGACCAAAAAAAATTTGTTGAGATTATTGAGCTAATAGGTGGGGGTTATTGACTTTGGTTTTGTATAATTTTTTTACCACGGCATATCAAATGTTGATCAGCCAGTGTACACGCCTTTCATCTAAATACTAGTTGTAATTTCCTCATTAGGTTGTGTCATAATTATTACACATAAATGAAAAATTAATTTTGATTGTTATACATATCTATTATATATTAAGCGAGAGCCTCACGTATGGCGACAAAATTTTGGGGTCATCCCATTCGACAAACAAATTAGGAAAAAATTGACCCTCAACCAAAAAAAATCCAAAAGCAGCCAAATATAATATATCAAATAATGTAGGGGTAATTTGGTTATTATAAAATATAATATAAATATAAGTGGGAAGAGAGAAAAGAATAAAAAAAAATGAAAGGATAAGTGAAAGTTGATGGTGCCCATGTGAAGGGGAAAAAATATAATAAAAAAATAAAGAAAATCATGAATATTGTGTTTAAAACATTTTAAGAGAAGCGTAGTGCTGGTGATAAATTAGTTTTATTTTTAATTAATACCTTACAAAAGACTAGCAATAATGTGATTCAATCAGATGTTGTGAATAGTGATTTTGGTGTCACCAAGTAGTTCAAAACATCTTAAGAGATAAGTAATGCCGATTATAAAAATAAAATAAAAAATCTTTCACATGCTAATAATATTGTGATTAAATTACATAAAATTAGTTGCTAAATGATTTCTATCACATCCCCGCCCGGGTCCACCACATCTTGGGCCCGTTCCACCACCGTAGCACAATATTGTCAGCTTTGGGCTTACCATTTCCCCACGGTTTTGATTTTGGGAACTCACGAGCAACTTCCTAGTGGGTCACCCATCCTAGAAGTGTTCTAGCCTCCTTCTCGCTTAACTTTGGAGTTCCTACGGAACCCGAAGCCAATGAGCTCCCAAAAGGCCTCGTGCTAGGTAGGGATGAGAATATACATTTAAGGATCACTCCCTGGGCGATGTAGGATGTCACAATCCACTCCCCTTAGGGGCCTGACGTCCTCGTCGGCACACTTCTAGCCAGGGATTGACTCTGATACCATTTGTCACATCTGGCCTGGGTCTACCACATCTTGGGCCCGTTCCACCACCGTAGCACGATATTATCCACTTTGGGCTTACCATTCCCTCACGGTTTTGATTTTGGGAACTCACGAGCAACTTCCCAGTGGGTCACCTATCTTGGGAGTGCTCTGGCCTCCTTCTCGCTTAACTTCGAAGTTCCTATGGAACCCGAAGCCAGTGAGCTCCCAAAATGCCTCATGCTAGGTAGGGATGGGAATATACATTTAAGGATCACTCCCTGGGCGATGGGCGATGTGGGATGTCACAATATAATTGTGGTGTTTGTGAACGCTCTGAAGTGCAAAGGTGAATGTAGGCCACTCGGGTAAGTTCAGGTAAGTTCAGGTAAGTTTAGGTAAACTCAAGTAAGTATACGGTATTAGTTTAACTGATGAGATATGTGATGAGATATGAATATGTCGTATAGGTCACTAGATGTGACTCCGACTATTATATGCTAGCCATAACTGATGAGATATGAGATGAGATACGAATATGTCGTATAGGTCACTAGAGGTGATTCTGACTATTATATGCTAGCCATAACTGATGAGATATAAGATGAGATACGAATATGTCGTATAGGTCACTAGAGGTGACTTCGACTATTATATGCTAGCCATAACTGATGAGATATGAGATGAGATACGAATATGTCGTATAGGTCATTAGAGGTGACTCCGACTATTGTATGCTAGCCATAACTGATGAGATATGAGATGAGATACGAATATGTCGTATAGGTCATTAGATGAGATACGAATATGTCGTATAGGTCACTAGATGTGACTCCGACTATTGTATGCTAGCCATAACTGATGAGATATGAGATGAGATACGAATATGTCGTATAGGTCACTAGAGGTGACTCCGACTATTGTATGCTAGCCATAACTGATGAGATATGAGGTGAGATATGAAAATGTCGTATAGGTCACTAGAGGTGACTCCGACTATTGTATGCTAGCCATAACTGATGAGATATGAGATGAGATATGAATATGTCGTATAGGTCACTAGAGGTGACTCCGACTTACATGCTAATATACATAATGAATATATGTGATAAGCTAACTTATGTGGTGAATACGTGATGGGCTAGTAGACGTGATGAATATGCGATAAGTTAAAATATGATTGTAAATATGTGAAGCATGACTTGAATCAATATACATATATAAAGATGTATATTTTTATATTTTAAGTCTAGAAATTATACAGGTGTTGTAGCGAGAGGTTATAGCAGTTTATATAATTTCTATTAAAATCTTAATTACTGGGCCACTTATCTTTGTCTTGTCTTCACCCCACCAGGTCTTCGTAGCTGAGTTTTCTTATCGTTGAAGAATCGTGACGATTCTTAGTATTGAAGATTATTTGAGGGTACAATTCTTAATTCACCCTTCTGTACTTTCTTATGCTCTAACGTCACATGTGAAGTGGGTTCATCCCCGCTCACCAGTGCACTCTGGTATTTAGGCACTCTTAGGTTTAAATTTATTCACAAATTTCCACATCATCACACTTTATGGCTTCGTCACATTCCAAGTGTCGGCCATCACAGCTTGATTCGGAGTCCTAGTGGACATTCCGGGTCGGGGTGTGTCAATTTTTCTTTAAACAAACGATATTATCTACATTAAGGGGGAATGAGTGGGCTTAGCCTCATAATGGGCTATCAATAATGTGATTTAATTAGTTGTTCATTCAATATTATTTTCTCTATTTTTAAATGCGTTCAAAACATCTTAAGAGGCGTGTAATGCCAGTTATAAAGAAAAGGTCTTTCGCAAGCGGATAATAATGTGATTAAATTAGTTGTCAAATGATTGTTTTTTTTTTTTAAACAAACGATGTTATCTATACTAAGGGGGAGGGGGTGTGCTTAGCCTCACAATGTGCTTGCAATAATGTGATTCAACCAATTGTTTATTAAATATTATTTTCTCTATTCTTAATGTAAATTATATAGAGACCGATTTTATTATGTGAATTCAGCTGCTTTAATTGGTTTATGAGGGGTATTAAATTAATTGTCAAATGATTTTTGTTTTTGTTTTTAACAATGATATATCTACACTAAGGGGGAGGGGTGGGCTTAGCCTCACAATTGGCTAGCAATAATGTGATTCAATCAATTGTTTATTAAATATTATTTTCTCTATTCTTAATCTAAAATTATTCATTTACTTCAAATATTTAACTTTCCTTTTGTCAATTAACGCATATAAATACATTTAAAACGTATAAGTCGCGTGTAACACGCCGTAATTTAAAAAATGTCTTTTGCATATGTGTGAGGGCGTGCGTGAAAGCTAGTATCTAATAGAGAGAGAGAGGACGCTTTTTCCCATAAAAAATGAGTGGAAAACAAAAAAAATGGAATTATCAATATGTATTGAGAAATGCTAAGTAGACTCTCTTAAAGTGACACTCTCCGTAGACTTTCTATCACCTCACAATTTAACGTTAATTCTGTGTCAAATTATAAAACATTGTGCAAAAAACATAAGGATGTAAAAAATCCATGAAGAGTCCCACTTTTGAAAATCGTCTTAGCATTTCTCATATATATTTCTTTATTTTCATTAAAATACTCCCAAAACTCGGCTATTACATTCAAAAAAAAAAACGTTCATTTTTTCTGTTTAGGGGACAAAAGTTCTCCTTCCTACGTAACCACCTTAATTATTCACACAAACAATATGTGAGCTTCATCTATACATTATACACATTATGGCATTCGTGTTCTTTCGCTATAGGACAAATTTATTGGGTGAATTTTAGTGGTTGTTTCACCTTTAATCCTCAAATTCTTGCCTGGTGCACAAATTTTTAAAACTTGTTAAACGAAGACAATAATGACATCAGTTACAAAAGTAGATAGAATTATTGGTGAACATACAATTTCATACAATCATTTTTAAGTTGGAATAAAATTAACACGGTGTCCACTATGTTCGGAAACCATTGTTTTGACATATACCAAATTACCACAACTTTTGCAAGCTTTAGAAAGAGGTGAGAGACGTTGAAGTGGAATCTAGTTTTGCACTAGAAAATTTTACATGTGCGTTGCTACGGGATTGAAAGTTGTATGAAAAATTATGTTTGCAATTGAAAATTGTATAAAAAATTATGTTTGCAAGATATAAAAGATTGCGCTTCAAAACATTACTATTTACACTGAATACATTTGGAAAATTGTTCTATACAATAGTTTTGATCGACACTTTCCTCAAGTTGCTCCTTGGGGCCTCTCATGACTCTGCCTTGGCCCCTTTGTTATCTGGATCCCTGCTCTAGCTCTTTTCTTGGGGTCTGATCTCACAGTCTTGCATGTCTGAACTTAGTGCCTTCAAATATGTATAACCACATAAGCATAGGCTTAGGATCGGGGAGAAGGTTATAGGGTAATTCTTTTCAAAACTGTATAATGTAAAAATATATATGATAAGCAATACCATTTACATACATGTGGAGTGTAGGTAGGTAATTATTGATCTTTTTTCTTTTCTGAATCAAGAACACTAATTCCAAAATACACACGTTCAAGAACCCTTTCCAGGCAGTTGAACATTAAGAACGATGCTAAGTTGAAATTGAGACAATCAACTTATGCAAGTAATTATATATGTTTTAGATAAGCACCTGGCTTGTGACAGAAGTATAAGTTTTTCTTAAACGTCATGGCCACTTTCATGCGTTATTGTAATTCATCTTCACCAGATACAGAAGAGTGACTCCTCAACGTATCCAATCTTTACATGCAACACATTTAACAAAATCCAGTGACTAATCATAAAGGCATGGCATGTAGGTACAATTATTAACAACGACAGTGAATTTAGGATAAATAAAGGAAATTGTTATTAGTACTCCAAAAATCTCATTCTACACTCCAAACTTTCTATATTAGGAAAGAAAAATACACTTGTAAGAAGTGTAGAATGAGATTTTTGGAGTGCCAATAACACTTCCCTAAATAAATCCAGTAATTTTTGTATAAAACAACATGAAGGTATGCACAAATGAATATCCAGCTGTACTGAGACTTGCATCATGCTCCAACCAATTCGGTTTAATACGTAAGAAAAATGTTGTACTTCATATTTGCATCAGTAGTACATCGGATATCCTAAACTATTGTTCTAAGGATAGTTTCGAAAATCCCAGAAAGGTCATTATTTATAGTGCAATGGAAACTTTGTTATTATTTTAAGACGGATAATGATAAGATGGTATGCCTAGGACCAGGAAAATAACCTACAACTGCATAATAACACGGACGAAGGATTTACTATATTTACCGTACCATGTCTTTTGTCCATGTCCATTAGTTAATTCAGCCAAAAAAAAAAAAAAAAACATATAAACAAAAGAAAGACAAAAAAGGGGATATTGAGATTACAAAAGGCAGCAGATAACACAAAAAAAACATGAAGAGCAACTGCATTTGAACCTCTCTAACTTTTATGCAGCTGTCACCAACTGCGTTGCTAAAGAATTCACAGGAAGACTTGAAATGAGCTCTTTTGCTGCTGGGATGCCCACCGAAAAGAAAAAAAACAATGAGAAATTTTTGTCTTTAATGGGCTCTCATCCAAACTGGGTACACTATCATTAACAAATTACATCCCACCTTGAAAGACGGAAGCATCGCCACTGCCTATTTCACCTAACCTTCATGAAATGTGACCTTTAATTTTTTTTTTTTCAAAAAACATTTTAAGCCAAAAAGAAACCATGTGTAAAACCAGTTAGTATCATACCTGTAACGTCCTGAAAATTCTAATTAAAAAGCTAATACCTGAAAATTCTAATTCGGAAACTAATAATTAGGATAGGCTTAAAAATTTATAGCGGAAGATAACCATCAAATTCCTTTCCTTGGACAATTTTCCAATAAAAATTAATTTCAGTTATTTTATTATGGCTGTATCTAACCTTCTTGTTAGATTGACTATGTACCCTACGAAGGGATCAAGTCATTCATAGTCCGTCATTAAGCTTCTAGAACAACATCTTTCCACAAAATTTGCAGAAAAATAGCATTATTGGACCAAGTTTAGGCTCCCCTTGGAGCATTCAAAACTAAACCAAATCATATAATATTATATGGGTTTTGAAGCTTGTGTTCTGTACTTTAAAACCATATAAAGTTTGTAGAAAACGGAGCTCTAAATTGGAAGTTATGCCAAAAAGAAAATGGAGTCTTGAAACTGGAAATCCAGCTTTCTGCAGCTGTTTGGCAGCTCGCGACCCAAGTTTAAATAAGGTTTTGTTCAATCAAAACTCAACGGAACTGAGTGAAAACAATTGGGTTACGATCATGAACATATGTACTTTCAACACACTAAAAATTTTCTCCAAAGAAACACATATAGACCTAGAAATTAAGAGCCAAATAAAGCTACTCGAAACTTGAGTTTTCTTTGCAAAGAAATCAATTTTCTGCAACTTACGTAACAACCCACTTCCAATTCATATAACAGATCCCAAAATACTTTCAGGTAGTCCTGAAGTCAAGTATACAACATCCAAAACTAACATAACTCAAAATTAACAAGAAAATGACCTTTGAACCAAACCCTTGACCAAGAAATTTGATGTACACACCCAATCCGAATTACCCAGCTCTAATTCATGTTCAGTCTAGTTCATTGAATGATAGAAAACCCTAAATAAAACTAAGAACTCCAAATATATCATGGCAATTTCAATTCAACTTAAGGAAATTAAATTTGAAAATCAAGATAATCAAGGCACAAGGAATTTACCCTTCAAATCCCTGAATCCTTCCTTCACAATCACATTCTCCATTGTGCTTTTCTATATCATTCTTGTCAACATCTTCATCCTCATCCCCTTCACCTTGACCCGTATCAGGTTGCATCCTCAGATAACATTATCTCTTGTAATTTTAGCGCCACTCCTTTGAAACCATTCAAAAGTTGGTTTGATGATTTTGGGTTGGCCGGATAATGTGGCTTTAACGCCGGGTCGGTTGTGTGTGTGGTACGAGGAAGGAAAGAGAGGGATGGAGTGAGAGAGTTTCTGGAGAATTCCAAAAATGGGTGGAAGAGACGGGAAGAAGTGAGATAATGACTTTCTCGAAACCCACCACAAGAAAATTATAATCCTCTCTTTTCCTCATTTAAACTTAATTAATATCCTCAAAAATAATATAAAATCTTGTTAATACAAATACGTAGGTTACAATAGTGAAATCCAGGAACGGGATTTCACATTCTTCCCCGCTTTTAAATTTCAATAACCAATTAAATACTTAAAATAATCAGGATGTTACAATACCTATTTATCTCATCTTCACTAAACGGTTGACCAAAACAAAGAGTTGTATCAAGCCCAATGCCTTGAACCCCATTCAAATCGTGGTCATTTTCAGCCAAAAGAGAGGGAGCAATCAAGTGGTTCCTCTTCAAACCAAGACCAGCTTCGATATCTGACATATAGTACCATTCAAATGGTTCAGCATGTGGCTATGATCATAGTTTAGCCTTTGGTTACTTTCACACAGTTGTATGTTATCCTTCAGCCATGATCACTTGGTCATAATTTGGCATTTGGTTATGATCATACGGTTATTATTTAATATTCGACTACGATCACACGATCATACTTTAGCCTTTAGCTACAATCATACGGTCATCATTTAACATTTGGTTGCAATCACACAATCATAATTTAGCCTTTGTATGCGATCACATGATCATAATTTAACTTTTTGTTACGATTACATGATCATAATTTAACCTTCCACTACGATCATCCAGTCATAATTTAGCCTTCGGCTATTCGACCATGGGTTTTGGGTTTTCAACCCTCGGTCTTCGGCTTCGGCCATAATTCAATATAGGGTCCCTAACCCTCAATCTCGAGCCTTCAGAATTTATTTCAGTCTAGGTCTTCAGCCCACAGTTTTGTGATCTTCAACTATGAATTTGTGCAGTGCTAACATGCCTCCAAAGTCCAAATACAATGATTTGCTGCCTTCCGTCAACAACTAAGCAAAAATATAATTGTAAGCAATAAAATAATATAATTAGTTTGATGAACAAAATAAAATGCATAATAATTCTCCTCATTTGAATAGTGGTTGCCCTCGATTCATGAGAACTTAAATATTTTCATATGATATTTGTTGGAGAACAATTCAAAAATAAACAGAATAACAGAAATAAACAGAACTTGAAATTCACAATTTTTATTTCACAAAAGGTACTTGCTATACAGGATGAAAAGTATACAATAAATACAGAAATTAATATAAGAATGTCAACGGTACTAACTTGATTACAGAAGGTAGAGGCTAGCGTAAAAGCTATGTCCTTCGAACAGTAATTCCGTCCCACTCTTGTGCTTGTGGTTCTATAATGTCTGCTCGACCAGGATACAACTACCTAATCCTATAACCCGCACTGGATTAAAGAATTCTAGCGAATTGCTTTGTGTGTTTACTTTCTCTGGAAAGTTTGTACGGAAGAAAAGGAAGAAAAAAAGATTATTCATTTGGATACCATGGATTGCAGATATATAGGCTGTTTCACACCCTTTCAAATACCAGTTCAGTGTATTTGAAGGTTCACAACTCTTTTCTAAGAGCTGTGTCTTTTAATCAAAATGTTTTTAATTAATAATAAATTAATTAAAAACTTAATCCGAAAATTAAAATTAATGAATCAGATTAATTTTAAATTCCAAGGCCCCAAGTGCCCCAAGGCCCAAGGCCCTTGTCTTGATTAAGTAATATTAATTGGATTTAGGCTATATTATACAAGCCTAATCCACACAACCATAAGGCCCAAGCCTTCAATCCATTTCCAAATAGCCCATATTCTAATTACTAGACTAAAACACTAAATTTATATAAAGGCCCTTGAGAATCTTGTTTTCCCCAATGTGGGGCAAGAGTCTCAAAACTTCCAACAATACCCCACATTTTGAGACGACTGTTTGGTCCTAGAGAAACTAAAACACGAGAGTAAACAATAGATGTGACATACATCAGGAAATGTGTCTTTTGGACTTGAACCTACCTTAGTATATACTTATCGGATTTACTAGATGACGCAGTGAATATAAAATCTTAAACTGTTCATCTCCGCAGTAAACCAAGACAATAAGCAAAACATATGTCACACCAACACATTGCAAATTCATATGTTTGTGTTCATTTTGGTCCTGAACAAATCCTGGATTCATGAGAGCTTTAGAGAATGTAGCCATGTAATTCTCATAAATGCGACCCCACATTTACTCTCATATAGGTGATATTAATTATGAATAGGCTGTTACTATTCCACTTGATTTACAAGTACCAATATCATTAAACTAATGTATCCTGCACCATCAGCAGTCACCACACTTCTTCCATCATAGGAATGGGTATGTAAGTGTGTTTCTTCTTGAATCTAGCCAAACCAGTTTGCCTATTGAACCTAGACCATGAGATCTCCAATCAACTAGGTTAGGTTTCCGTTTGGCAGTGATCTTTGGCCCTGATGATATGAGATCTTACCCTTGTTCTTACCTGCAAGGGTAAGTGAGAAGGATACAAGGAAGCATGTGGCTTTTTCCCTGTCTTTTCCTTTGCCCTTGTTCTTACCTGCAAGACAAGAAGAAAGAGAGCAATCAGTCAGCACTTGGAATCAAGCTTCCAGTCAGGAATTGACTGCCTGTAACCTCTTGCCTGATTACTTATCTGGCATTGCTCTCGAGTACTCATCTTCAACATCTTATGCTTCCAGAAAAGATAACACATCTGCCTGAGGAACATATAGGGCAAGTGAGAAGGATACAAGGAAGCATGTGAAGACAAGCGCAACAGAACACATGCCGATTCATCTATTACTTCGTCAACAGCAAAAGTATCCCATATCAAGGTCGAATGCACTCTTGATTTGATGGACTTGTTTTGACCCTCAAATTCTTAAGTTGGCTTTATACTTTGGAGGAAACCAGAAAACCCTCCAGCCTAGTTCAAGAATAAGCCTGTGGAAAGTTACTTCTTCAAAAGCAAAAGTATCTCATATCATCTCTTCTCCATTTGCTTCTCCTTATCCTTGTTGCTGTTTATGACACAAGGAGAAGGAGAACAATCAACCGGAAGCCAAAGTCGAACCTCCAATCCATGTTGCTTGCTTGGAAGTCTGATTGCTTACCTTGTCTGTTACCTCCTTCGGCAAATCTCATACCTTGGCGACTTGGGGGACTCCTACTATAGGGTTTGTATAGAACTTGACCAAGCTCGAAACTACAAGTAAGCTTCAAGTGAAATTGATACATTACCTTGTGCATCTTCATCGGTTAAAGATACCACCCCTGGATGGAGGAAAAGTACTTCCAGAGAAGATGCCACATCTACATATGAGACAGATAAGGCAAGTGAAAATGATACCACACTTCGGTACCTAGAAGTTTCGTGATTACTCAATGGCTTGGATCTTGCAAGTTCCCAACCGAGGAGCTTCCCTCACTCGGGAACTTAGGGGAGCACTGTTTGTACCATACTTGACCAATCCTGAAACTACTGAGCACTGGTCAACGTTATGCCGTCAAGGAACCATAAGAGTTTCCCTCCAACCAGGAGGCCAATCATAGCGCGACACGTGTCGACATCAGAAGCCAATCATAACACGACACGTGTCAATGTCAGAATGAAACTAGAAACTCTCTTCTATAAATAGAGATCATTCTCTCACAATATTTCCTAATATCATTTGTACTAAATCATTCACTAGTACTCACTAAAGGAGAGCTTGAACCTATGTACTTGTGTAAACCCTTCACAATTATTGAAAACTCTTCTACTCCATGGATGTAGCAAATCTGGGTGAACCACGTACATCTTGTGTTTGCTTCCCTGTCTCTATCCATTTACATACTTATCCACACTAGTGACCGGAGCAATCTAGCGAAGGTCACAAACTTAACACTTTCTGTTGTACCGAAGTCTTCACTGATTTTGTGCATCAACAAGATTTTTCAATAGTAAGTAGTGGTGTTGTGCCTTTACTCTTGTCAGCAACTGTGGTGGAATTAGAATAGTAAGATTTATGCGTTTTCAACTTCGTCAGAGATCTTTGACAAAGTTGCACGCAATATCCGAAAAAGCTGAGATTGCATCTGAAAAATGCCAACGAACTTTATTCCGGAAAATCTGGCTTTTAAAATTCGAGAGCCGTGCCGCTTTGATCCCTGAATAAGTGGCTTTGTTGCCTATTCTTTTATAGAGACATCAATTGTGTTTAAGAGTATGCTCATAAAGTTGATGTTTGTAGAAATTTTCCCCTTCTTGCATTTCTGAAATTTTATTGGACCTCGTTTTTTCTTCATCATTTCTGAAAATGGTTTGCCTATCTAACATTTGCTTAGATTTGAGCCTTAGGAGTGATACAGACGAGCAGCATTAGGATAACATATGACGCATGTCCTTCTTATCTTCTAATGATCCTCTTATGGTTGGGGACTCTATGATGAAGAATAACATAACCGCTACTGTGGTAGCTAGGAATCTTCTCACTCCAAAGGATAATAGAATCCTTTCAAAACGGTCTGACGAGTTGGCCGTTCAAGACTCATTGGCTCTCAGTGTTCAATGTGCAGGCTATGCATCCAATATGAGCCAACGCCTACTTGCTCAAACTCGCCAAGTTGAATCATTGATGGCTGAGGTGGCAAGTCTTAAACAAGAGATCAGAAGGCTTAAACATGAGAATAAAATGTTACACGTGCTAGCAAATAATTACTCTACGAGTATGAAAAGAAAGCTCGACCAACTGCAGGAATCCGAAAGTCAGATTCAAAGTGATCACCAGAGATTCATTGCTAGATTTCAAAAGCAACTGATACCTTCCCGTTCTAGTGTTTTTGCCAAGGACTAGGGTGCCATATGATCAATCTCCAGTGCCTTCCCCTTCTGGGGTACTTTTGAGTACTGAGGCTTCACATGAGCAACCTTTATGAAGGCTCCATCCTGTTTGTTGGTTTTAACTCATGTGTATGTACATATCTGTAATTTCTCGGAGATATTAATAGATAAGTTTTATTTCATTCGGTGTATTATGCTAAATACAATAAAGCATAT